CGCGCCCCCCGGGGCTCAGCCCCTCCGCTGGCAGGTGTCCCCGCCGCGCCGTCAGTGCGCTCGCTGTTGCAAACTGCGCTCCGACGGCTGGTGCGCCGAGGGGTAACCGCGGTACGGTCATCCCGTAGCGGTGCATTCACTTCACTTATCGAACAGCACCACGTACTCCCCTCCGGGACGGACGAGCTTCACTGGGGCGCGGCGGGGGGCGGTCCCCTCGCTGCCCCCACCGCGAGCGACACCGGGCTCCCGGCTGGTACGAAGACCGCGAATTTAGCTACCGTGGGCTGCCTTTCTCTGTATACCTGGAGCAGGGCTAGCTCTGATCTCCGCTTCCAGAAGCCGGGTATTTTGACGAAGGGAAACAAAGCTAATGCCTCCGAAACGGCCAACCCCCCCCATCATTGGGGAACTGCCTCTTGAAATCTGCCGGGAAATGTCCCCAGCGTGCTGACCCCGCGCTAGTCATTCTGTAACGCGGTGACTTTGTCCACGGTTGGCATGACCTGGGAAGCTGAATAATCGCCTTTCGTACGCTGGCCCTGTCACATCTTGTTCTTTATCTACCGCAGCATTTGCACATTAAAAATCTACACAGGGGCTCGTCGAGTCCGAGCCCCCGGGCTCCGGCCACGGGGGGAACCGGGGCGGCTGCTGACAGCCACCCGGGCTGCCGCTGCGGGGAAGAAACCGCGTCCCGGTACACCGGGAAAGCGGCTTCTCGGTGAGCTGCTGTCCTCGCTGGGGCTGTGTGGGGCTGGTAAGGTGGATGCTCGTGTTTCCCTGGTATAAATGAGCAGCAGTGTATCCGACTGATTTATTTATTTTTCCCAAACCAAGGGTGTTACAAAAGACGTTCTCTGCGGCTCATGTTGACAAATAACTCGTGAGCTACCTGACCGTGTTAGTCCAGTTGTTGCCCATATGTCTAAATACCCTCGAAGAGACGTCAGTGCCGTTTAGCAAGAGAATTACCTCAAATGAAAACCAGAAGGAAGATGGGTTTTTTTCTTCTCCCCCAAACCCACGTTACACCTGATGGCAGTAACACGCAGGGAGGATTTTTGAAAACTCAGGATCACCTTCCCCCGTAGCAGCGATCGCTTTACAACGTGACGGGGGGCGGGGAGGGGTGCGCTTTTTTTTTTTTCCTCCTTTTCTTTCTTTTTTTTTTTTAAATCCATACCTTCGCTAAATGACTTGCGTTCGTGTTTGTTTAACGACGGGTCGCTTCGGTAAACAAGGCAATCAAAAGAACATTTGAGACTACGTGGATCCGTTTCTCCGCTGCTTGTAGACGCCTGGACACCCAGAGGAGTTGTTGAATGCCTCTCTTTCCATCCTCCCTTTATTTACCCAAATGAACGCAGGGAAAGCTTTTAACCGAAGGGAGATTTAAGGTGATAAGCAGCGAACAGGCGGTCGGCGCTGGAAGCCTGTGCTTCGAGCTGCAGCCCTCCGTGGAGTAAAAGGGATGGGGTGTTTCAGAGGCTATTTTTTTTGTTGGCATTTGTCTTCTTTCGAAAACCGAGACCGTTTCTTCTTTCTCGAAATAGTCCGAGGGCTGCCTTGCCAGTGCGATTTCATTTCAAACAACTATTTTAGCCGAACTCTCGCACCGACCGGTTTGGCAATTATTTCGGGCTTTTGAGCGGTTTTAGTTTCGGGACCTCCCCCGCCCCCCCCCCCCCCCCCCCCCCGCCCCCCCTACTCCGGGCGGCCTCTTTCTGCTCTATCTACTCTCTTTTTAGGAGCCAGCAGTTGGAGCCGCGTCTGGTTTGTTTGGGTTTTATTTTTTTTCAGGGGACCAGTGAGATTAGGAATCGTCCCGCTCCCTGGGAAAGAAATAAACCCCCTCGCTCCACATCCACTTTGCGGGCAGTTTTAAAGTGCCTCTGTCTCGTGCTGTTGGAGGGTTGGGGGGTGTTTTTTGCTCTTTTTGTTTGTTTGTTTGTGGGATTGTTTGGGTTTTTTTTTTTTCCCCAGCGTGTATCAAGAAGGTTTGTTAAAACCCCCCTCCTCGGCTTCCTCCATCCCTCCCACTCGGTTCACGCTGTCCCACAGCGCATCAGCCCGGGACCGAACCGTATCCCGTTGAAGGCGGGGGGACAGGAGACGCCGCTACAGCTTATTTTTCCCAAGAACGACCACTTG